GCGCACACCTACCACATCAACTCCATCTCCGTCAACAGCGACTACGAGACCTACATGTCAGCGGACGACCTGAGGATAAACCTGTGGAACTTTGAAATCACAAATCAAAGTTTTAGTATCCTTTGGTGGTGACCCCGCAGCCCCCCAGCCGGGGGGGGCATCCCCAGCGGGAATGGGGGCATAGGAGCCCTGGGAGCCCGGACACATGCACGTGTCAGTGGGAGAATGATGGGGTCCCTGTCCTTGCCCCCTGGTCACGGTTCCTTGTACAGCATCACCCTCTGGCAAGCTCACAGGGGTCGGGAGTACAAACTAGCGCTGTTCACTGTGAATCTGACAGCAGAGCATCTGAACCCCCCCATCCCTGGGTGTCACCCCCAAGGCCCTTCCCCTGAGGGCTGAGCTGTGCTGCCAGCAGGACATGGGTCACACCGAGCCGAGCTGCCACCTGCATGTGCAGGGCTCCCCTGGCATCCTCGGGACGCTGCCTCCAGCCTGGTGACACAGCTCTCAATGCTGCTGCAGGGCAGGCGGGAGCAGGGTCTGCCCGTGATGGAGCAGGCAGATGCCTTGGGGAAGACGGAGGGAGGCCATATTAATTGTGCAGTCTCTGCTGTACCCTGCAGCGAGGTGACGAGCTGCCAGTCACTGCTGTACAAATGAGGTCCTGCCAGTCACCCTTGCAACAGCCGCATCAGAAATAACAACAATGGGGCACTAATCGTGGGTGATATTTATAGTATTTCCTACTGAGAAATCCCCACGGGGCATGTGGCACATTTAGGCAGCTGAAAGGACTTCAGCAGTCAGAGGCATGTGGCTGGTGGGAGCTCCAAGTGGGTATGGCTGAGCAGGGCTGCAGCACGTGCTGTATTTTGGGGAAGAAAGTGAGGTGCTGGATTTGGGCGAACCCTCAGGGAGCGTGGCCAAGGCGTGATCAGAGGGAGCAGTCGCTGTCCTGCGGGGCCGGGCGCTGGCTCAGCGCTGGCTTGAGCTGGGACCCAGGTTCTGCTGCGGATCTGCAGCACGGCCGGGCTGAGACCTCTCAGAGGCTGTGAACTGGGGCTGCTGCTTCTGCGGAAGTGCTCGCTGCTGGGAACACCGCACACGGGGGAGAAATCCATGTCTGTTAATCCCCGTCTTCCCAGGAACAGCAGGTTCTTAATTTGCTTCCCAGGGGGCCAGGAAAGCTGCTGTTTCTTTCTTCCCCTTTGCACAGCGGGTAAATCACCCCATGCTGGGTGTTTGGATTGCACTGCACAATCTGAAGCTGCTTCCACTGGTGAGCACTGGCTGGTGTCAGGCCGGGATGCACCCTTGCCGTCCGTCCCCTGCAGCACTGGGATGCGCTGGGGGGCTGTGCAGGTCCTTGCTGGCACCACCCGTGGGGCCAGCTCAGTTTGGCACCCAGTGTTTCACCGAGCCCAAGCGTGCAAAACGTTCTGGAAACGACACGTGCCTGGGCAGCACCCCACTGTGCTCTGGGTTTTGGTTTTGTGTTGCTGCAGCAGAAGATGGTTGCTCTCGCTCAGAGTGAATTGGCAGAGTCAGGTCTCGGCTGTACAGAGGGTACATGGTCCCTGTTTGAACAGCAGAAGTGATGGAGGTCGGCTCTGCCCTGCGCCGGTGCTGGCTGGAGCTGGCTCGGCGCTG